GTTACAAACTGAACTCTCCAATGGAAGAACAAGATGCATTTCTTCCTTTAGGAGGTGCGATTGTCAGAAGAAAATAAAAAAGTTTCAGTTTTGTTTTTGCATGTGGGTGGGTATCCTGTAATAATTGTTTGGATACACTATATTTTTAATATGCTAGTTGTGATAATTTCATGCCAAGTAAAAATGTCCATAGTCATATTTTATGTCCCTAAAGTAACAGAATGACTTTCAAACTAGAAAAGACAAAAGAAATGCTAATGTAGCATTTTTTTCAATTTTTCCAAAAATTTCCAGTTTCCCCCCCCAAAAAATGGGTTTTTTTCTGAGCTTCAAAATTTCTGGAAATTTTACATCTCTAGTGCCGACAGAGTCCACCCTCTACAGCAGCCATTTTCTCCAGGGGAACTGATCTTGGTAACCTGGAAATCAGTTGTAATAGCAGGAGATCTCCAAGTGCCACCTGGAGGTGGGCGACCCTAGTTTCTGGTAGGAAATTTTACATCTCTAGTGCCGACAGAGTCCACCCTCTACAGCAGCCATTTTCTCCAGGGGAACTGATCTTGGTAACCTGGAAATCAGTTGTAATAGCAGGAGATCTCCAAGTGCCACCTGGAGGCGGGCGACCCTAGTTTCTGGTTTTGACCATCATCAGATTGCCAACTCTGGGCTGGGGAATTCCTGGATATTTGGGGGTTGGAGGCTGGGTTAGCTTGGGGGGCGGGGGAGACACGTCAGCAGGGTATGAAGTCATGAAGACATGTACGTCCTGTACGTAAGAAAAAGCCAGTGTGTGTGTGTTCACTTTACAAATGAAACCAGGGACAAGTACCTGGGTAAATATGGGGATTAGATCACATGGTCAGCTGTACGTGTATTGAAAGTAACATGAGAATTACAAGTGTACACTGTGCACAGGTGGTATATGTGCATTGCATTAAGTAAACCAAGTAAACCACCCTCCAAAGCTGCCGTTTTCTCCAAGGGGAACTGACCTCTGTTATCTAGAGATGGGTTGTAATTCTGAGAGATTCCCCAGGTCCCACCTGGAGGCTGGCGACCCCGGCTATCCATTCAGTAGCGCAGCAGCAACGTTGAAAGAGTTGGCAGTTAGGGGCCGTTGTCACTCTGCTGCCCTTCCCCCCAGTCCCCTTGCTCCCTTTCTGGCTGCGGTCACACGGAGCATTAGCCACGCTACTGAGACGGATGATAGGCGGATTTTCCGGGCACGATCACACCGCAACATCTGGGAAGCGCAGAGCTCCCGTGGTGAACCCAAGACTTCCCGCCGAAGGTGCGGAGTTAAAAACTAGTACCTCTGAGGTACTCGTTTCCGGAAACTGCGGAGCAAGGGCTGGCATCTGATCGCGTTTCCGGTGGTAGTCCATGGCATCCGGCGCCCGCCCATGTCCCGTCGCAAACAGGTTTTCCCCCACCCCAAGTTTCCCCAGGATGTGCACAAGCAACCAACAGCGCATCCGCACGAAGAGGAAAGTGAAAGTTCCGTTGCTCCGCAGAATCGCGCATGCCGTTGGTGAGATCACGCCACACTGCTTCTTTGCCGTGCCGCAGGATCATCGTGTGATCGCCACCTACCCCCGAACCACGGGACGTGGGGTCCGGCGGCCGCGCGTTAGTTTGCTCCGGGGCAAACAGCCACGCTTTCCCCCTGCATTTTCCGGCTCGTGTGACCGGGCCTCTGAAGAACAAAATGGGAGCTGCTGAGTAGCTGCAGCAAGAACCATGAGCCCTACCAGAAAAAAGTCGGCAACCCCACTTTCTCATGTGCCAGCTGCTTCGTAAGCAGTCATCTTGACCCAAACACTATAGTTCACCTTTTGAGGAAGGCACGTGAGTTATAGGGAGCGCATAACACCCACTGAGCACCTGAAGTCAGACCAGGCCCATAGCTACAGTGGGGCATGTTGGGCCCCCGCCTCCTTAATTAAAAGTCCTGCTCCACAAATAGCCATGCCCGAAACCTTATTTTTGAGGAGAGAACCCCGTTTGCCCTCAGGTTTTCTTCTTCCTCCCACTGTGGAATTTGGGGGGGGGGGGGTTCAGGGGCCCCGGGAA